GTACTGACAGCTATGGAAGTAAATTGATTGATTAAAATTGTGTCGACCGTACAGCCGGAGGAGCGGCAACATTTTTCCTATGTTAGTATGTATGGCATCACATGACGTAATATTTGTGATATTGTAAATGGATATTATGTTGACCGTAATGTTGGCCCAGAATAAAGCATTTCGATGTTTGCGTGTCTAATGATGAAAGTGAAAGATTATTTTTCAAAGAGTGTCTTTATAGTTTTAATGCTCCAAGGTAATTTCTAAGGTTCGTACCGATACCATGCCGTAAATGACTTGAAGACGATTGATCTTCTGATTACATGGTTGGTAGCACGAGAAAACGAAAAAAATTTTTTTTTGATAATTTCGTAATTTTCTTGATGAACTTAGATTCAGTTGATGATTCTCTCAGCAGAGAGATGGGAAAATTGATTTGACTCAAAAGGCGTCAAAACGGACTTATTGTAGACCTATTACGGACTAATACTGACGTACGACGTCTTGTGAAGTCATCAAGCAGAAGATTTGGCCCTTAAACTTTCCCGGACTGGATAGGCTTTGCCTATGAGGCACAGTTAACCGGCATGGTGCAACTCCATAAAGCTTCCATCATGAATTGACCTCTGCTGGAACGCTTCTTACACGCTGTCATGTACGACAGGCACGGTTTCGCTGTTCTAGAATAGAATGTTTTAAAATGAGGCTAAAACGTGCATGAGCTCGATGGCTAGTGATTGGTGACGTGGGGTTCCTGGCACGTTATTAGTCAAAAAACTACCCTCTAGATAATGCAGGTGGTCGCCGGAGCGTTTTCTGTCCACCCGGGTCAGACGCGATCGAAGCGTGCCATTGGGACTCATAGCGAAAATCGATTTTTCGCTGACAAATGCTCATGTTCTAATTCTGGTTTCTACTCAAAAATGACAATGAGCTAAGTAGAAAAAAGTGAAATCGGACTGGATAGGTTGACACAGAAATGAATATGGTGGATATATGCCGAAACTCGCGTTTACCTCTGCAGTCTTGTTGAAACCAACGTCAGTTGCCATTGGTCATTCGGCACGCTATGCGTTGTTCATGGCTTTTGTTCGCAGCGTCAGCAGCATTGTTTTGCGACAGGCTTCAAGCTGGTGGTACGTGCGAGATTGAAATCAACACTTATTACCAGTGTGAGTCGAGAGCCAGCAAGAAAAATGGCACTTCGAAGCAGCATATCGAAAACTTTTATAAGAAAGTCGACTCGTGTTTCGTCGAGTACGTAGTAGTGGTTACTCTTATTTGTTTTTTACTTTTCGTACTACTGCGAGGTTTTGGAGCGCTTCCGTTTGTACTCTGCCCATGGCAGAATATGAAAGTATATTACGTGTCATAGACGTCATTAAAAAACCTATGCCAACGAGCCTTTCTCAAGAGTTGTTGCCCGCATTTTCGGTTTATGACCCTCGACATGGTTCGCTGGCATGGCTATTTGAAACTCGAACTCGGTTATCTAATTCAATGATTCAGCTGTTAATTGGCGTTAGGGCTTTATATCGAGGGAAACAGGTGGATGGGATTTTACCTCTGTAAATTTACATTCATTGTCAACAGCTGTTTGAAGATATTCAATGTTTTTCACACCAAAATCTAACTGTAACTTAGTCATATTCCGGCATTCTGTGAGGCATAGCGACTCAAGGTAGATTTGTTCTGCATTGAATTAATTCCATAAATCCTTCAGTATAATAAACTACTAAACGGATGACTATGAGGAGGTGGGTTGCATCACCCTGTCCGACGCTGTTTTTGATCTCTACCACCACTGATTCGAATTCTGTCCTTCAACTTTCATAACTTAAATCGCGCCATCAGACATTT